CTTTTTTCCTTTAAAATTATTTCTTTAAATTATAAATTTATGACAGCTTATTCACTCTACACACTCTTAAATCTTTTTCTTTAAGAAAAAATGTCATATTATAGCAAGACTATACCAATTACACTGTAAGCCTGGCTAAGAGCCTTTCAAAAACTTGTCATCTAAAATTTACCAGTTTAACCTGATCAAAGAAAAAAAAATGCTACTACATTCTTACAAAGACCACTAGGAGGAGACAGCAAGGTCCCTGGACCCTGGTGATACCAGGTGGCAGTGGCTATGTAAATGACACCAGAGTCCATGTGCAGTGGCCTGTAATCCTAGCACTCTGGGAGTCCAAGATCACTTGAGATCAGGAGTTTGATACCAGCTTGAGCACAAGTAAGACCTCGTCTCTACTAAAAATAGAAAACTTAGCAGAACTTCGTGGCAGGTGCCTGTAGTTCTGGCTACTCAGGAGGCTGAGGAAGGAGGATCATTTGAGCCCAGGAGTTTCAGGTTGCTATGAGCTGTGATGATGCCATCATATTCTAGCCAGGACGACAGAGTGAGACTCCATCTCAAAACAAACAAACAAAAAATCAAAACCACAAAACATTAAATGAGACCAGGTCAGGCCTGGAACCCCACCAAGACCTGCTCATCCAGGCCTGTCTCTGAAGCTGTGCTGTGCCCCAGGGATGCTCTGTGGCTTGCAGGGGCTGTCCCTCCTTGTGGAGCTTACCGGTGCCTCTGGGAAGGGCGACTCCTGACAGCGCCTCCAGCACGGAGCTCTTGCCTGAGCTCTGGTCCCCGATGACAGCAATGGCTGGCAGGGCCAGGTCCTGCTCCACACCCAGGGCACGCAGGGAGTCAACGAGGTCAATGCAGGGCCGTACCTTCTCCTCGTACTGGTTATACAGGTTGTTTTTGGCATCCTGGAGAGACAGAAGAGATGTTGCTGCCTTGGTCTCTGAGGGTCCCCATTGTCTCGGGAACCTGGCAGAATCTGTGCAGCCATGACACTGGGTCACAGGCAAGGTGGGAGGAGGGGGAGGAGGGGACTGTGATGAGGGCCCTCTGTTCTGCCTTCTGTGGCCTGGCTTTCTGTAGGTGCTGCTCCTGCTCCGGGGAGTGGGCTGTGGATGGGGGTGTGCAAGCCTGGGAGGGGCCAGAGGGAGGAGCGGGGCTGTGCCCCAGGGCTGTAGGTTGAGAGGAGGAGTAGGGAGCTGGAGTGGTGACTGCAGGGTAGCTGGAGGCAAAGCCCCAGCACAGAGAATAGAATCCCCAGATCCCCTGCTCTGAGCCACCTTGCCACAGCACAGTCTGAGAACATCCCTGATAGGCGTTGGATGTGACTAGGAGAGCTAGGGGAATAGGGCTGGCTGGTCCCGTTACTGGATGGGCTTACCCACCAGCAACCTGCACCTGCAGCCAGACCGCGTCTACCGGACCATGCCTCCCCTGGACTCACCTTTGTGCTCAGCTCTGGTGGCTGGTTGTTCAAATTCAGCAAGTGGAAGTCCGCACTGAGGAAGGCCGTACCCTTCTCCCCTGCTACCTGCCTGTCTGGGGAAAACCCTGCCAGCTTGGGTGTTGTGCCCAAGGGTGGTGGCTGTTGCTGGAATAAATCCATTTCTTTGGGGGAGCAGTGTGGGGAAGGGTAGAGGTTTCTCCTTCTGTGCACCTGGGACATCTGCTGCTTCCCAGCAAGCTCTGCAAAGGCACAAGGTGGGGGTGGCTCCGTGTCACCAGGAAGTCCTCCTCCCACCAGCTGCACCTTTGCCACCCCCTCCTCACCGCTCCCTTCACCCAACCCCTGCACAGGTGTGGCGCCAGGCCCCACACAGGCTCCTGTCTGCAGGAGGCATGTGAGCGGGATTTCCAGGGCTCCAGGGTCTGGGGTCGTGGGCAGGGGACCCACATTCCAAGGCAGAGTCTCTGATCGTCTCTGCTGTCTGTGGAGTCAGAGGAGCTCAGGACACGGCAGGAGGACTGTTAGGCAAGGACAAGTGACAGGGAGCACCTCTCTGGCTGCCTGATGCCAGGCTGGGCCCTATGGTCACCATCTCACACCCAGGCCCAGCATGTGTCTGAGTCTCACACTCCTCTGCCTGTGGCCTTGCTCAGATGGAGTCACACTGTTAAAATCACCTGGTGGCACTGAGCGCCAGGCTCACCCAGCACCGTGCTAAGACATACATTTAATTTTTAGAACAGGCCTACATGGCCTGAGGACCACAGCTGAGCCCTGGAGGCCCCTCACGACACCAGCAAACGGCCCTTCTCTTCTTCTCACTCTAATGCTCTTCACAGATTATTCCTGAAGAGTTAGCACCATGGGCTCTCACCACTACCTGAGGGTCTTTGACCATGGGGAGGTATTCCTGATTTAGCAACATCACAACCTTGGCTCAAATGACACAGGTCCGCAAAAGAGCCTTAATTCACCCCCTGGCATGTGACAGGCCCTGGTTCCACCTCTTCTCGGGTGGACATATCCTGTTCCTTCATCACCCACATCAGGTCTAGCAATGTGACCTCTTCAATACAGACACCGACTTTCAAAGCCAAAGACCTGAGCTTGGCATTGTTTCTGGCTGGAGTAGTCTGGGGGGCATGCAGGCTCCCTGGAGGCCTTCAGGCCTTCCTGGCAGGACTGTCCCACGTGTGTTCTTCACGTACCAGCTGCACAGGCACCAGGGGAGAGGAATGTGATTGTGTGGCCAGGTGGAGAGTGGAGAGGGAGTGCAGGGGTCACCCCGCCCCCATGGCTCTGGCTTCTCCAGACAACCTCACAGGGGGACAGACCACGTGTTGAGCAGCGTCTCGCTCCCAAGGGAGGACCCTTCCAGGAGCCCCGTGACCATGCAGCACTCCCACCTGCCAGGCTCTGTGGCCAACCCGAATGCTCGATGTTCCTCTGTTGGGACAGAGACTACGCTTTGGGGCTTAAAAACCTGCCCCGTTTCCCTGCCAGCCTCAGCAGCTCTCCGTGCTGGCCTGGCCACTTCTCTGCGTGAAGCTTTACTCAGAGCCTGTTTTGTCTGCCCACCCTCAGTCTCTATCTCCTGTGCAGCCCAGCAGCCCAGAGACCGGCCAACCTTCCAGTCGGAGCAGGTGGCTCCTGGGTTCCACATCCCCACCATGCGCCCACGCCCACTCAGAGGCAAGACCAGAGCCAGGTCTCCTACA